CTATAAAGTACTCTATGATCTTTTAATTAAAAGTAAAGAGGGTGAAGGGGATGCGGTGTAAAGTTTAAAAAAAAATATAATGGTATGATGATGAATTAGTGTTGCTGTATATTCATATTTTTAATTAATTTTTCAAAATAGCTGCTCTTTAGATTGGTTAAAAAACTAAGTAATCCCATCAGTCGTATAATCATAATCCGATATTAATTAAACTAGGGCTTGCAAGTGATTTTACTGTCTACTTGTAAATTAGCGTTACAGACAAAACGATTTACAAAGAAGATGATGTAGATTTCGTCTGTTTCTCTGACCACGGCATATGTTAGGGTAGTGTGGTCAGCAATATCTTCAGCAGTCAGGTAACCATGACAACAGGGTGGACTGAGGGAACACTACAAATCCTGTAAAGGAGACTGTTCATAACATATGACTTATAAAATGCTAAAAATTTAAGTAAGTGGCGTTGCTAGGTCGGGTGTCACCCGGTGCGGCCTCTCATGGTACCATCCCCACCTCCGAAAAAAAAATAATTTATATATATATATATATATATATATATATATATATATATATATATATATATATATATATATATATATATGTGTATGTGTGTATGTATGTATGTGTGTGTAAGTGTGTGTATATCGGGGTCATCAATTTGTACTTATAAATGTAAGTAATCATTAATTTGAACTGGCAGAAAGCATAATTGTTTCTTCTATATATATTTTGCAATTTTTTGCTACGGTGTCACCCGGTCCGTACCCCATTACCCCGGCTCGAGAAGTCTCTGATCTAAGTACTGTTTCCATTTAAACTTCGTAATGAAACTATGCATTGGGTGGGCAGAAAGTTCGTGTAGTAGCCTAGTAGCCTATATTGTGCTCTTTTCTCTGTCCTCAAATAACCGTTTGGCCAAAATTTGTGGATAATAAGTGGCCATTTTCTTTATACGTATAGAACAAAGTGGCCATATGAAAATGATTGTATACAATAGAGTGGCCATTTCCTAATTTCGCATATAACAGGGTGGTTATTTACGCAATATGGCTGTGTTCCATTGGTCGCTTTTACTGTCCGTATACAACACGTTTGCAACCAAAAGTTTATCTAGCTTAGAACACTCGTACCAAGTATCACTGACTGTTGGAATCACAAGTCGTGATCAGAGTTTCTTTCAGGTATCTCTTCAGGGAAATAGAAAAATATATAATGTATATAGAAAATATTTACTTTATAACCAGTGTTCGACCCTCGGTAAATTCAATGCGTTCCCCCACTCACGAAATTTTCAAATGCCCCCACCCCCCCCTAACTATCAGAGAACAATGTCTGATTGAAAAAACAAACTGGTCTAGACACTTATTCATTGATCTCATCTGTTTGTCGTAAATACCACTTGGTCTTAAAGTAAGGTTAAAGATGGTATGCAAGACGTAGATGATAATACTAAGACAAGCTAAACATTCGTTCAGCTTTTTGCAGTGGAGGTTACAACCCCATATTGGCCTCGGTGTAAACAGAGTTAAGTTTCTTTGGAGATTAAAATATTTCATCATCCGTAAGTCATGTTCTCCATTTCAGCCTTACCGATCCATAGGGCAGCGGAAGGAAAGTTTAAGTGTTTCTATACCTCGGCATTTGAAGGGATGTTTTGGTCAGCACTATGCCCAACAGCCTTTAACTTTCCCAACTTCAGCTAGGTACCCAACAGAGCTTGTTGTACTCGGGTAAGTTTTCAGACAAGCCTAGGTTGAGATTACCAACATGTCTCTGCTCACCATATGCGCGATTTCACAAAATCTACGTCTTCCAAACGAAGACCGGAATTCACAAAGCAAACACTACATAGTTGCAGACTTAAGAAAGCAGAAAAAAAAGATAAGGATGACGGGAAAGGGGGGGGGTAGAGGAAATAGCGTAACACGCAAAAAAACTAATCAGACTTATAGTCTGGACAAAGGGAGACAATTTATTTCCGGCAGATCACATATGGTCACAAGATGGTGGACGCTGGGGGGATTAGATGGTAGGAAACACAGGACAGACAGATAGGATATATAGGGATATGGATGGTGGATTAATAAGAACGATAGTGGATACACAGGGACATGGATGGTGGATAAAGGAGAACAATGGTAGTGGATAAATAAGAACAATGGTAGTGGATACATAGGGACATGGATGGTGGATAAAGAAGAACAACGGTCGTGGATACATAGGGACAAGGATGGTGGATAAACAAAAACAACGGTAGTGGATAAATAAGAAAAACGGTCATGGATACAAAGGGACAAGGATGGTGGATAAAGAAGAACAACGGTCGTGGATACATAGGGACATGGATGGTGGATAAAGAAGAACAACGGTCGTGGATACATAGGGACATGGATGGTGGATAAACAAGAACAACGGTAGTGGATACATAGGGACAAGGATGGTGGATAAACAAGAACAACGGTATTGGATACATAAGAAGAACGGTCGTGAATACATAGGGACATGGATGGTGGATAAAAAAGAACTATGGCCGTGGATATATAAGAATAAGGATGGTGGACAAACAAGAAAAATGACGTTGAAAAAATAAAGAAAGCGATGGTGGAAAAAACACCAATGGTGGTCAACGATGATGGATAAATAAGGACAAAGATAGTGGATAAATAAAGACAACGATAATGGATAAATAAGGACAACAATGATGGATAATAAGAACAAAGATGGTGTATAAATAGAAACAATGATAGATGATAAATAAGAACAATGATTGTGGATAAATAAGGATAATGATATTGGATAAACAACCCCAAATCATCTTATGTATCTTGAAACAATTGGGTTACATACGCGGGCAGTGTTCTGCTTCCTTTAATTTGTTGTTCACGAGATGGAAGTCTTATTTTGTGCAAGATATGACATCTTCGAGGTCTTGACTTAAAATCAAATGTAGTCTTAGGTTTAGGTTTGTGTAATTTCAATTTCAGTATACACTTAGTTTTATAATAGTTTTTACACAATATTATATATTAGTTTTGGTTAAGGTTATATTTTAATGAAGACAAGAAAAAAATAACGGAATATTTAGTTTACAACATGCTTAGGGCCAAGATTAGTGGTTCTTAATTATTTTGGTGGTACCGAGGCTCACCAGCTTCATATATATTAGCATAGGTTAATATTTTGCTGGTGCATAAAATTAACCATGCATCAACATCACTGTGTTCAAACAGTAAAATAAAAATGTGACACAAAATAACAACCACATATAATGATGAAGCTTAATGCAAATCAGTTTGACTTCTGCTGTTGCCCTTCCAACACCAGTTATAAATACGCGGCTTTATCTTGAATCCAGCAAGTGTTGTATTTTACATGTCCTTCCAGCTTAAGGAAGCATTCTCTTAGTTTTGCCAGTGATAGGCTAGAAGTGCTGAACATGGCATTGCAAACAATGTTTGTTCGAGACTTTTTTTCTTCGGGGGTGGCTTTTGAAATTTTCAGGGGGGGGAGGGGTGGGAACTAAAATTTTCGGGGGAGGGGGCGGACACTGTTTTTATTTTCTATAAAAATTCCATTTCGCTCGGAGGCGGTAAACTCTCTTCGGGGGGGGGGGGGGGGGGGAAGGGGGGGGGCGGAGCCCAACCGAGGAGATGCGTGGAAGAAATAAAGATGTTGACTCCCATCAAGTTGCTTTAATACTTTATACATGTGAATCCATATTTTAGATAACCGTCCATACAAGGGTTTAAAGATTTGAACAACGGTTTCACGGTATAAAACCATGACGTTACCCATACGCGTTATCTCGCCTTGGCGCACTGTATTACTTTATCATGCTGTCGGTCGCGCTGTCGTATTGAAAAAGTCATCGGCCGTGGCCGCAAGTTTCATCGTAGATACCGACACCATCTAATTATTGTTGCCAAAGATATCCATATCAGAGGCGTAGCGACCCTTCGCGGCGCCTGGGGACAAAACATTCAATTTGTTGCCCCCCTCGGCAACAACCTTTCAATTTTCAATTTGCACCCCCTCCCTCAAACTTTCAATTTGCACCCCCCCCTCCCATATATTTTTATATTTATAATGCAAAACTGCAGCTAAAATGAGATTTTAATTTGTTTTTTCCAACCCATTTTGGCGCCCCCTAAGGTCGGCCCCCGCCCCCCTCGCTACGCCTCTGATTTATATTGTACGACTTTAAAACGAATTAGGTGTTGTGTTGTAGTGCAAAGGGGGGAGCCAGAAGTGTTCCGTGTCACTCGGTCACAGGGGCGCTGGGGGGGGGGGCGTCTGATGCATGTTAACAGTTGAATCAATTAGCATCGCTAATCTCCTGTACAGGAAACCCAATTAACATACCTCGAGTGTGAAGGTAGTCGCTAGGGAACTCTGGGCGCCGTGTCGCCCTTCGAAAATTTAAATTTTGGAGGGGCGGTAACCTTCCCAGGATTATTCGCATCAACGCCCTAAGGCTTCATGGCAACTGGGTGAAGGTCTAATAATGTGTAAAACACTCAGACTAACATACGCATATATACTTTCATATACATACACACACCTATATATATATGTATATATATATATATATATATATATATATATATATATATATATATATATATATATATATATATATATATATACGTTTAAATGCATATTGATTTAATTTCCCGACACCCATAGAATATATTTCGTACGGTGCTAGCTTGCGGATTCCGACTTAGTTTGTAGTTCAGAAATGAAATCTTCAAAACCCTCTTTAAAAATGGACCTGAACGTTAAACTTCAACCTCCTTAAAACCGTGTATATTTCTCTAAAAAATCCACCATAAAAATCTCTTTACGCTGAAGAAAAACAGCGGTCGATAATCCCTCACAAAATTTATAATAACGATGCATCAACCCCCTTCCCCAAACACACACACAAAACCAAACCTATGGACATTTATTGTAATACTATCAAGTATTAAAATTAATAATTTAAAAAAAAAACTGACCTTGGTTATTTATTTCTTACACCCTGAGAACGCGATATTCAGAAGAAATCCTACAACCGTCTCAAAAAATCTTTACAACTTCTTTTCTTCTCTCGACGCGACGCTGTTGGGTGAACTCGCTTTTTCCGCTACACAAACTGAAGAGCTCTACAGGACTTGGTCTCACAACTGCGCTTTTATGACGGTCAATTTGACGAGAGAACAGCCCAATATAAGACCGTCTACCTATCGTCCAATCATCCACTGCTCACCCCCTCCCCCCACGCTCAAATCCCTGTCATGGGCTCGCACAGTGAGCGAACTCGCGTCTGCTGATCCACACGCTTGGTCGTCTGCTTCACATTTTGTAAAGAAAAAAACAACAACACCCGAGCTTTCGGAAATGAGTCGAGTTGCTGAGTTGGATAAAAACAAGCAGATGACGTCATGCGCATAAACTCGGCAACTGCAAAAATTTTACATGACGTCATCTGGATCCTGTGGGTAGTTAGATGACGTCATAAGTAGAAAGAGCAACGAATCATTGCAGACTTCATGACATGCAGGGTTTTAATTCAGACATTTTTTGTCTCATGTGGAGGGGTTGTGGCACTCGAAATTTCCAATGGGAGAGGGGAGAGGGGATGGAGGGCGGACACTAATTGAAGAATATATTATCTACATAAATTATTTATTTTTATATAAATATACTGTCTAAATTTTAAAAATCTTTTTCTCCGAAGGCGGGTGGGCGGTAAATGTGTTCCTTTGTAAATCGACCCCCTCCACCCCAATCCCCCCACCCCGGAGAGATGTATTAAAATTATCAATGGAGGACATGCAATTTTTTTTACTTCCATGCCATTTTTTATGCATTTGTCACACATTTAAATTAGTCTTTTTTATTTCGTTAATTTAAGCTAGGAACAATGATAGAAATAAGCTTTAAAATGCAACTTGTTTCCGGGTTTCGGAAACCATTAGATAAAGGTTGTTAAAAGTAGAACCTGGTCAAGTCAGGGTTTGTTATAGTCGCCCTAGCTGAAATATTTGACTGGTGTGGCGATAGATGATAAGGTTTCTGAAATAGATGAACTCTACTTCCCCTTTTGAACTTTTGAAAATTCCTAAGAATTAGAACGAAACGAATTCACCCACTTAAAAAAAATCATTTTATACTACCGACCAGTCAATCAATTGTTAAACAACAATGAAATTGAAATTAGATAACCTGGCTTTAGAAAATAATATTATTGACTCATTATATTTATATCACTTTATATCACTTACTAGGTCCGGGAAATTTACGTAACTTGAAAAAAATTAAATAAGAACTTCACAAACATAACGCAATATATTCACACAAACATCTTTTTTGGTATTTAAATGCTTATTTTATAAAAATTATTCTGATGTTTTGATATTACTGGTTGCGAATACGACAAAGAATGTATGTTTTAAACAACAGTATCAAAATTATTAGTTTAGATGACAATTCAAATACACATCAGTAATGTTAAAATGTACACAGCTACTTTGTAGTAGCTTTATCCCCAAACTAACTCAACGTTCTTAATACACTGAAAGTTATTTCTACGTTCTAACTACACTTTGGGAGGACCATACTCCGCGCTAAAAAAGGTCCTTTTTCCAATCTTATTAAACTTTTAACAGACTAATTATTGAGTTGAAAGGTTTTTCTTTATTCTTACTAAACTTTGGAAGGACTATTCTCCGGACTAAAATGTTCTTTTCCAATCTTATCGAACTTTTAAAAGACCGTTTATTGCCTTGAAAGGTTTTTCTTCATTCCTACTAAACTGAAAGGGCCATTCTCCGGAATGAAAGGTTTTTTTCTCTTTTCTTACTAACCTTGGAAGGACCAATTATTGAGTTGAAAGGTTCTTTTCCCAGTCTTATTAAACTTTTAAAGGACCATTTATGGGCATGAAATGTTTTTTCTCCATTCTTACTTTGGAAGGACAACTCTCCGGGCTAAAATATGTTTCCTTTATTCTTACTAAACCTTGGAAGGACCGTTCTGTGAGTTGAAATGTTTTTCTCCATGCTTACTAAACCTTGGAAGGACCGTTCTACGAGTTGAAAGTTTTTTTTCTCCAAGCTTACTAAACCTTGGAAGGACCGTTCTGTGAGGTGAAAGGGTCGAACAGATTGAATCCTAGGTAATGCCACATAGCTCTGGAGATGGCGGTGCTGACGGGCGAGGGCAGGACATACATAACCAGGACAAACATGGCCAGGTAGTTGATGACGGAGACGAAGAGGAAGTAGAGTACCTGTGTCATGACAGACAGGACCATCTTCGGCAGGAACAGGACCAGCTGCAGGGCAAGTGCCGCGAGGAGTTTCACTGGGGACAAACAGAATATGTTTTAAAATACTGCAGATATGCTTATATATACACATTCTAGACATATATATATATATATATATATATATATATATATATATATATATATATATATATATATATATATATATATATATAATTTTTTTTTTTACATAATGTATTTTAAATTCTTACTAAGTTGCTTAAATGTATAAATTTTAAAGACACACACAACTATATATATATATATATATATATATATATATATATATATATATATATATATATATATATATATATATATATATATATATATATATTCGCGTTTGATGACTAACTCGTTTAGCAGGGTTTCTTTCAGACACTTCTTAAGGAAGGAAGTTGCCCTGCACCCCCCTCTGCCCAGTCGGAATACCTAAATGTACATTTTACATTGAAAATATGTGTCCGCCCCTGCCGGGAGCTGTAGCAGCCCCCTTGAAATTCTCAAAAGACTCCACCTTCTTCGCGAGTAAGAGAGGGAGAGAGAGAGAGAGAGAGAGAGATAGAGAGAGAAAGAGAGAGAGATAAAGGCCTGTATATGTTTATTATTTTGGCTTCTCTGTTTTTTTTACTGAACAATGGTATAGCACGTTAAAATTCATACCCCCACACCCACCCCATTGTTTAGAAAGGGTTAGGGTTTATTTCACCTATCAGCTTAGGACACATTAAAAATTTTTGACTTTATCGTACCATTTTTGTATCCTACTCGCACAACTGGTTAACTCCGGTGATTTTTTGCAGGGTTTCTTTCAGGCACCACTTACGTAAGGAGTTGGCAGTACCCCCCCCCCCCCCCTTCCCCCCCTCCCCTGTCGTAATAGAAACATATAATACACTTTATTTTGAAAATATGTTTCCGCCCCTGCCGGCAGCTTCAGAGCACCCCTAAACGTTTCAAGAGACTCCACCGGGTAAAAAAAAAGTCTGAAAGAAACCCAGTTTGTGACAGCCTGAAAACTGAACCAACGTTTAACCAAAACACACAAGACAACGAAAAAAAAACTGGAATAAAAGAAAAACGGACTCACAGACACAAAAAGTCCAGCTCAGCAGGTAAGAAGCCAGCCAATAGATCGTGTTCAGTACGAAGAAGAGGCATTTGCTGGCAAGGTCCACACCGAATACGACCCCCCGGGCAGGGTACCGCAGGGCAGGGGGCGCCCAGCTACACGCCACTGTAGAATTAGTTTGGGGTCTTCCAGAGGTTGGGGGCGGGATGTTGAAAGGGGGTCGGGGTCGTGATGGACGAGGTGGCATTCTACGGGGTTTTCTGCGGGTTGGCATACAGTTAATAGAGGATTGGTAGAGGGTAGGCAAAGGGTTGGTAGAGAGTTAGTAAAAGGTTGTCAGAGGGTTGTAAAAAGGTTTTTGAGAAGAAAGACAGAGGGTTGGAAGAGCGTTAGTAATGGGGTGTCAGAGGGTTGTAAAAAGGTTGTTCAGAAGGAAGGCAGAGGGTTGGCAGCGCGTTAGTAAAGGGTTTATAGGTGGTTGCAGAGTGTCAATTAAGGGTTGCCAGAGGGTTGAAAGAAGGTTGGGCAGATGGTTGTCAAAAGGGCTCAAGTTGTACAGCAGATGGTAGCAGAAAATGTATCTTAGATTTTATTTTATTTCGCTATTTAAGAAGTATTTAAGGGTTGACAGAGGGTTGGCAACTATTATGGGGGGGGGGGCGCAATTAGCCGAGAATTACCCAAGGCTCTATAGAACAATTGGGGCGGTATACAAGTGAAGTGTAGAAGAGAATATGAAGTGTTGCCAAAGGTTTCAGCTTGCGCGCTATTCCAGTCTTGATTTGTGATGTTCCATCTGTTACACTTCATCTATGTATGCTGAAAAATAAAGCAAAGTAGTCAAGTTCCGTTTTCGAAACTGACGGTTCATGGGGGCAAGTGAAGTAGAGTTCACCTGTTTCTGTGACCACGGCTTGTGAAGGGATAGTGTGTTCAGCACTATGCCCAGCCGTCTTAACGCGAGTTAGGTACCGATCAATGCTGGGTGGACTCAGGGACTTGTTACCCGGATTCAAACTAGAGACTTTCGGGTTAAAAAAAAGAAATAAAATAAAGTAGTTTTATTAAAAACTAAAACCGTAAATGTCATGATTATATTTTTTGATAACCTGAAAAGCGTACTTACTAGACCGGCCTCAAACTTCTTCTTCGTTCTAAATGTTTAGTGTTGGAAGGGATCCCCTCCAACACGATTAAGGATACGTGTCAACTGGTTATGCGCCATTGAGGCCATTGACTCATATTCTAGCATGCTTCTCTTTTTTGGATTTGCTTCCATAGCCTTTGTTTAACCAAGAACAAACTACAAGGCAGCAGTTGTTTGATTTTGGAGTTGTCTCTCCTAGAAGAGTGGCTGTCCCCAGCTAACGAACCTCATCTGCCCGAGGGTTCGAGCTCGAGACTTTTCGGTTTAGCAACCATGAGCTTTTACCGACTTGACCACGCCGACCCCGCACGCTATATTTAAACAAATTCGATTAATTTAAACTATAGAACCTAAAAATAATCTAACAACCCATAAGTAGGCTAAAGTAACCCTGCCCATACAAGTACAACATTCCAGACTAGAACTATTTTCTAGAACCCTGTTGTTAAATACCAAAATGCCAACACTAGAACTATCAGATTATAAAGAGAATGTGTTATTTACCATATATTTTCTAGAACCCTGTTGTTAAATACCAAAATGCCAACACTAGAACTATCAGATTATAAAGAGAATGTGTTATTTACCATATATTTTCTAGAACTGTGTTGTTAAATACCAAAATGCCAACACTAGTTTATCAGATTATAAAGAGAATGTGTTATTTACCATATATTTTCTAGAACCGTTTTGTTAAATACCAAAATGCCAACACTAGAACTATCATATAACAAAAAGAATGTGTTATTTACCATCTATTTTCTAGGACCGTGTTCTTAAATACCAAAATGCGAACGCCTTTGCGGCGCCATTTTAAAAACAGGAAGTTGATATGTTGTCATTTCTAACATCAAAAATATGAATTAATTTTACGAAATAATTTTTACGTTAAATCTCTATAATGATGAATGTTTTTTTTTAAAATAAACATTAAACAATACAACAAAAAATAATTATAAATTGAACTAAATTATAACTTATTATTATAATGATTGTAATATAATTAAATAACTCAAAAGAGCAACACGAATAAAAACGAACGATTTTCTATTTAGAGTATAATTATATACTTTTTTTTCTGTCTCGTTCGGTTGATGGGGGGGGGGGGGGGTGGAAGATACGGCTGTAGACTTGCCTGAAGGAAACTCAAAGAAGAAGGGGGGTCTTTTAAACGCGGGTCTGATTTTATAATACAATTATCTAACAATTGTTAAATTTAAACTTGAAAAGTTGAGTATCGACCTTCTTGTCAAGTCTTTTTAGACGCCGATTACTACGGTATATATATATATATATATATATATATATATATATGTATATATATATATATATATATATATATATATATATATATATATATATATATATATACCTATATATATACCTATATATAATGTATATATATATAGATATATATATATATATATGTATATATATACAAATATGTATGTATATATATATGTATGTTTATATATATATATATATATATATATATATATATATATATATATATATATATATATATATATAAATATATATATATACATATATATATATACATACATACATATATATATATATATATATATATATATATATATATATATATATATATATATATATATATATATATATATATATATATATTTATGTACACACACATATATATATATATATATATATATATATATATATATATATATATATATATATATATATATATATACATATTTAGAAATATATATGTAGGTCTATATATGCAAATATGTTGTGTTTGTTTCTACATATTTAGATGTCTATTATATTGTAGATAAGTGACATAAATCAACAAAAAAACAAGGATAAACAAAATATAAATTCTAAGCCACAATCTCAGAGCAAGCCCAGTTTTTAATGCACCTTGTCCTATGGACGGTAAGACCTGAGGACGAAACTCGCCGTGTAGTTGGCGACCCGCTTGGTGCCGAGGAACAGACCCTGCAAGCCGCTGCGCAGGAACAGGGG